ATTCACTCACACACCATTCACTCACACACCATACACTCACACACCATGCACTCACACATCATTCACTCACACACCATTCACTCACACACCATACACTCACACACCATGCACTCACACACCATTCACTCACACACCATTCACTTACAGATGCCCACCTGACGCAGCTACTCCTGCAAGCATGAGATTGCAATTCACGACTTTGCAATCACAGGCAGAGAGGTCTAATCTGCTTAGTCACAAACCCATAACACAGCCCAGCTCACACGGCATGTGCGGTTGTTAGCTCGTAAGCGGTGCAGTCTCAGCACATGCCGTACCGCGGCTGTGTGCTGCACCTATGTGCCCCGGGCCATAGTGTACCTTCACGCCAAGCCAGCGGAACTGGCATAGCCTGGGCAAATGCATTCACGCAAACTGGTTTTATGTCAACATTTATTAATGTACCTGATTCTTCCATCCAAAGTGACTTACAATAGAGAGAAGGGCTACAATTTATGCATGCTCCCTGGGATTTGAACCCATGGTTGTCACAGTATGAGAGCAATGATCTACCTGTTGAGCTACAGGACAGAGAATCTCACCTTATATCTGAGTTGCTCCTCGATTTCAAGCAATGTTTGCTGCTTCCCTACAGTCATTCATTTCAGAATGGACACCCAATGAATGCTGGCTGGCTATTTACAGAGGCTTCCACTTTCAGGGGAGTTGGCTAAATTATAGACAGTCACCCTTTTGTATTTTTAAACATCCATGTCAGTTATGCTCAGGTTAAAAATAGCTAATGTTTAAAATTGCAGCCCTCCAGAAGAGGGTATGTTCTAATCAAGCATCACGCCATCCTTATTATCTGAAGTTTGATCAGGTTTGGTACAGACTCTGCTGACAGTCAGCAAAATGACTTCCTGTATGACTGAGCACCTCCCTTTAGAGACACTTGGCTCTGCTCAGGAGAGAAACTCAGCCTGAATTGTCTGCATTTTATTACCATGCCTGTTTTTATTTCTGCTAATCAGTTGGCCTGAACTCAATTCTGTAATCGGAATGACTAGATCCAAGTGCCACTTTGAATGGATGGATGAATTTAAAGATTGTTTTAAACACACTTTGTAGTGATGCAAAAAACTCTGTACATAGCATTGTGTAGCGGCATTGTGAAAGCCGTTTTCAGAGCTCGGGTGAGTATGAGGTGGGTACAAATGCAGAGACGGGAATCTGAAAGCATCATTTTGAAGTGAAAGCTTTTAAAAACATTCGACTGCAATTCAGGATAGTTACAAACAGTTCCTGCAACTGACAATTCATTCATTCTGCAATTGACAATGCAATTCAAATCCAGTATCTCCCTCATTTAAACGGAAAGGTTTGCAAACAAAGTTGCACCCAACTAATACAATTGTGTTCAAAATAATAGCAGTGTGAAGTTCAATTAGTGAGGTCATTCATTTTGGCCCCGTTTACACTGTCTGTTAAATGCGACCTAATTCCGATTTTTTGCTCATATGTGACACAGATCGGATCTGTTCTGTGACAGTGTAAATGGGAAAAAAACGCATGCATTCGGATATTTCAAGATCGGTTTCAGGCCTCATTCATATGTGGAAATAAATCAGATATAAATCAGATATGGGCCAATGCGACTGTAATGTAAACAGGCAGATCAGATTTTCTGAGGCATTGCGTTCTGTACGTCATTAAACTGCGTACGTGAAAAGTACGTGGGAAGTACGTGTGGAAGCGTAACATTCAAGAAACACACGAAACATGGAGGAGGAAAGTGTAGGGCAGTGGTCGACGCCTGAAATAGCCTACCTTCTCACCCTGTGGGGAGAAGAATCCGTTCAGGATAAAAATTAAAGGTTCCTACAGAAACAAATCTGTTTTCGAGGATATTTCGGCTGCAATGATGGCCCTTTTCCTCCTCCTTCGCCTCAAAATCGTGATGTTGTTCGGCGAACTTCGCATACATCGCAAAGCTAACATAAAACAAATTTCGCGTTCGTCCGTCTTGGCTACGGTGTCGTGCAAAAACCCCCGTTGAGCATGCGTGAAATTATAGCAAGTGTAAACACACGAATCGGATATGGGTCACAATTAAAAAGACCGTGTAAACAGACGGTCCAAAAAATCGGATATAGGCAACAAATCGGAATTAGGCATCAAGATCTGCAGTGTAAACGGGGCCTTTGTGAAAAAGTAGGTGCCAATTATGGGCGTTATTTAAGGAAGGAAGGCAGCAAATGTTGTCCATGCTGGTTATAGTGCATTTCTCTCTGAAATTCTGAGTAAAATGGGTCATTCCAGACATTGTTCAGAAGAACAGCGTACCTTGATTAAAAAGTTGATTGGAGAGGGGAAAACATATAAAGAAGTGCAGAAAATGATAGGCTACTCAGCTAAAATGATCGCAAATGCTTTAAAATGGCAACCAAAACCTAAAAGACGTAGAAGAAAACGAAAAACTACCATTCGAATGGCTCGAAGAATAGCCAAAATGGCAAAGACTCAGCCAATGATCAGCTCCAGGAAGATCAAAGAAGGTCTAAAGTTACCTGTAAGTACTGTTACAATCAGATGATGCCTATATGAAGCCAAGCTATCTGCAAAAAGCCCCCACAAAGTCCCATTGCTGAAAAAAAGACACGTGCTGACGAGGTTACAATTTGCCAAAGAACACACTGACTGGCCTAAAGAGAAACGTCACAACATTTTGTGGTCTGATGGAAGCAAGATTGTTCTTTTTGGGTCTAGTGGCTGCAGACAGTTTGTCAAATGACCCCTAAACACTGAATTCAAGCCACAGTACACTGTGAAGAGAGTGAAGCATGGTGGCGCAAGCATCATGATATGGGGATGTTTCTCATACTACGGTGGCGGGCCTATTTATCACATACCAGGGATCATGGATCAGTTTGAATACTTCAAAATACTTGAAGAGGTCATGTTGCCTTATGCTGAAAAGGAAATGCCCTTGAAATGGGTGTTTCAACAAGAAAACGACCCCGAACACATGAGCAACATCTTGGTTCCAGACCAACAGGATTGATGTTATGGAGCAGCCAGCCCAATCCCCGGACCTTAATCCAATAGAAAACTTGTGGGGTGACATCAAAAATGCTGTTTCTGAGGCAAAACCAAGAAATGTAATCCAATCATCATGGGCTGGAATACCTGTTCACAGGTGCCAGAAGTTGGTCGACTCCATACAACACAGATGTGCAGCATTTCTCTGAAACAGTGGTTATACAATTAAATATTAGTTCAATGATTCAAAGGAAAGCAAAATCTTAAAACATTTTTCAGTTCATACAGTGAATCTTTGAGTTTGTAAAGAAGAATTTTTGAACAGCCTAATATTCCCGTTCCTTCACTTTCTGTAAAGGAGTAACACAAATGTGATGAATTTCTCTTCTTGTTTTGATTTGGAATAGAATTTGTAGCGTTCCCAATGCATTTGCATGTATGGAAATAAAAACTATTAGAAAGATTTTCATATTTATTCACTTTTTTAGACACACTGCTAATATTCTGAACACAACTGTAAATGTTCTAAACATCAAACTTGGGCTTAAATTAGAAAATGACTTAAATGAGTGTGCACAACAGTAAGTGTCATCAGTGTTCGGTCTTGAAGGCTCCTTTAAAAGGAAGGCATTGTACACTTGCAACTCTACTGTCACAACAATGTACTCCAATGTACTTTTTTCTGTGTGGTAATGTGACCTTTCATATGAGAAACAAGATGTGAGAACGTGTCAACATTGATGCCATTATTTTCTATGTGTTCCACAGCTGATTTCAGACATGGAGAAAAAATCAGTTATAATTGGTCATTGTAAATGCAACAAAGCGGCTGAACAAGCTATTGAAAATAAGGTATAATCCTCTCATCTATTCTTCATCGTTCATTAGCAGTGACTACCTACTCCAGACCAAAAGGCAATCAAACCTGTTTTTTGCACACCCCATCAAACAATAACGTTTAAAGCCCTTTTCTCCATCACGTTAGGAAACGTCCGAATTTTGGTCAAGTAACTACGATATTCTCTAGGCAACATTAGTTGGTTACTTGTTTGGTTGTTTTTTAGATGCGTATCATTCTTCTCATCCTGCTACTCTCAAATAAACAAAAACCTTTGAAAACGTACATCCAGTACTGTGAAACAGCGAGATGACCTCGTAAAAGAGTATTTCATTAATAAGAAGATCGTTCATTTTAAATATCTTACGCAAAGCGCAGCTTTTACACTTCGCGCTGCCACAGGTCTTGGGCGAGGGAGGGCTGACGTCAGGCAGACCACAGGATATACAGGTTTAGGCACGGAAACGTGCGATGACAGGCGATGCTGAGCGGTGGAGAACTTAGAGCAAAACTGACGGCTAACTTACCGCAGCCTACCGGCAAACTTACGGCAAGTCGCACCTGTCCGATCGCGGCGCGCAGCCGGGGACTGAAGGCGGCCGGGGACGCGCACAATGCGAGCAAGGAGACTTTCAGCAGATCGAACTGGGTGATCTAGTCACCGGACCGGAGCCGTGTGAACTTCACAAGGGGGTTTTAGGTAAGAGGTGCTGTAAGCTTTATTCACCGCATGAGATAACGCTGTTTGCCACATACCTTGTGGACCGTAGAAGTTGTTGCTGCAGGACCAGACCTTGTCAGAAAGCGCTTAAACTTCGTGAAAATGCTTAGATTCGAATATCCAGTTTTAAATTCTCTTTATGCAGTAACATGTATTTTTGCTTCTATGAATTATACTCTAGACAAAAAAATGCGATTGTGAAAGTATAGCCTAACTGGTCTCTCCAGCGGCATTTTTTACAAATCACATCCTATACATACATAATTTATGGAATGTTGGTTATTATCTACTATGTAATAGTAACTTATAACTTAATATTCCACAACAATCGAATACTTTGAATAACAATCCATAACAAAAGAATACTTCTTTATACTTCCGCAACCTAATAAAATTAATGGGTAAACTGCTTTTAAAACGATGGTTAGTTCTCGCTGTATTTTGTGATTTGCCCCTTGAAATTACTAACATGTCACATAAATGCACGTTTTAAATGACACTGCTAGATGTCTTTGAGAGCGCCTGTATAACATATCGTCAGTAATGTAAAGTTTAACCTATCGCGGTACACTTGGATGTAGCAATGAATACAATTATACATTTAATTGTAATTTATTAATGTAGATGTTTGTTTTTAAAGTGCGTGACACAATATTTTGTACTACTTGGTTTAGCTCTATGTATATAATTTTTCTCCGGAGAGGTTTCTAAGTTTGTTTTTAATAATATTGACGCGGTTACGTGCATGGCAGAGCTTTTTTTTTTTTTTTACACAGTACTTACTGCGTGATTTTTTTTTGGCAGAATAGAAAATCTTCTCTTGTAGTTTTCAGCATGGGCGTCATTCGGTCCGATCACTCAGGGCTATAATCCGAGTATTTTAGTACTAGCCCCGAACGAGTGTTTTAGCCCCGATGCCCATCTTCCTTAAAAAAAGTCTAGCCCAGGTAAAACTGACTTAGCCTCTGATCTTTGCAAAAGCTACAAACTCCCCTGGTCTTCAGCAGGCTATAACTCTCTTATACTCCAGTACTCAGGGCTTAATATTAATAGCGAACTCAGTGTAGCTTTTATCTCCTATAATGAAAGGATGACGTAAAGTACCTGGAGCACCGCAAATGACATGTGTTCATTACTCATAAACAAAGCATATGGGAAAACCACTTGTTCCATCCTTTTACTTTCAATGGCTGCTTATCCTGGGTACTGTCACAGTGAGCCTGGAGCTTATCACAGGCAGGTGGGGGGACACCCAGGATGGGAATACCAGTAAAAACGATAAAATAAAAGTTTTTTTTTTTTTTTTAAACACCTGAAATAACAATGACGCTAAGTTTATTATTCTCCAGGACCTGTGGATTAAAACATCATATTTTACCCTACTGTCATTTTCTTACAGTAAACTGAAATGTTTACAAATCACTATTGTCATCTTTAAGGTCATCGTTGTCCAAACTTTTTTGCAGAGATGGCGAGTGATGACAGGACTGGCATTCTGATGGATGATGAGACAGACCAAAGGTGGAATGATACTTTGGATGAACTGGACAATACTGAGCCTGCAGAGGAGAAGCCCAGGACATCCTCCCCGGTTCCAGCCCCAGAGAGTCCCCAAAGCGATGCAGCCACAACCTCGTCGCAGCCCGGCGTGGGTACAGTGGGAAGCACCTTTGGCCAGGTTAACAAACACCTGCTGGTCTCCAAGATCTTCTACTTCTTCTTCTACGCGGCGTATGGCTCGTTGCATCCGCTACTACCCATCTACTTCAAACAGCTGGGCATGACGGCCAGCCGGAGTGGCCTGTTGGTGGGAATCCGCTATTTCATCGAGTTCTGCAGCGCCCCCTTCTGGGGTGTGATAGCCGACCGCTTCAAGAAGGGCAAGGCTGTGCTGCTGTTCTCCGTGCTGTGCTTTCTGCTGTTCAATGGAGGCATCGGGTTTGTGAAGCCGGCCGAAATGCACTGCGTGGAGAAGAGCCCTCCAGAAGCCTCCAATAACTCCGCCCAGGCAAACACGACACAGGTGACCTCCACCACCCAACCTATGGGAGATAATTCCACTCATGTATCAACCCCCCAAAATGCAACCAGCTCGGGATTCACCACAGAACAATTTACTGCAACGACCGTCGCTTCTAATACTCATGAACTAATCTACGATGAAGGACAGGTGAAGACCATCTTCCTCACGATCCTGCTGGTCATAATCATCGGCGAGTTCTTCAGCGCCCCTGCGGTGACCATCGTGGACACGGTCACCCTGCAGTACCTGGGCCGACACCGCGACCGCTACGGGCTGCAGAGGATGTGGGGTGCCCTCGGCTGGGGTCTGGCCATGCTCTGCGTGGGCATCTCCATCGATCACATGCAGCTCCTTGTCCTCATCCAGGACTGCGGCCTTTTCCACCTGAAGGACTTCCTGATTACTTTTGTTGTGTTCGGGGTACTTGCGGGACTCGCCCTCCTGGTGGCCACCCAGTTCTCCTTTGACAGTAGTGGATCGGCAGTAAGCAGGGGGGTGTATGACAGTGCCTCCCCTGGGGCCATCGTTGCGGAGGGGCAGCGTGAGTTTCACTTTTCGGACCTGCTCAGGGTGCTGTGCAGTGTCCGATACAGCACCGTGCTCTTCGTGGCCTGGTTCATGGGCTTCGGCTACGGCTTCGTCTTCAGCTTCCTCTACTGGTACCTGCAGACGCTGAACGGGACCACCACCCTGTTCGGCATATGCTCGGTGCTGAGTCACGTCTCCGAGCTGGTCGCCTACTTCACGAGCCACAAGCTCATCAAGCTGGTGGGCCACATCAGGTACGGCGGCCTCGGGGGCCAGTGGGGGATTGGCCAGTATCGGCGGCGTGATTACGGGGCTCATTTAGTGCTTTCATGTGGAAATAGCCAAAGCTATTTCACTAGCAGGTGAAGTTCAGTCTTTTCACCATCATCTGCAAGGCTTTTCTGTCCCTCCCTAAGCTGAGCTGACACAAACCATGGCTGATAAATCTCCCCCCACAGATAGACCAGGCTCTCAGGCATCCCTGGAAAATGGTGCCTTCCAGGCATGTTGCTTGAAACCTGACCACGTCAGCTTTGCACCTCCTTTGAGACTTCTATAAGTACTCCCCACCCGAAACTGAATCTAACAGAATATCTTCCCTAAAAACCCCATTGGAATAACCCAAAAACACCTAGTCCCAGCTATATACGTGTATTGTTTTAAAAAGTCTTTCAAGAACATAAATATTGCAAAATATCCATCCATCCTCCTTAACAGCCACTTAACCACTATAGCATTATGGAACTGTAAAATAGCTGTATTCAGATATGCATCCAACAGCTCCCAACAGCTTATCGCAGGGTGACCTGGAGCCCAGCTAGATAACACAGGGCTGGGCTACACCTTGGATTGGTTACCAGGAAGTCTGCTGCCAGGCAGTCAGCCACTGTGTTAGCCACTGTAAACATCCCCGTTGGTGTTCAGATATCACATCTTGCAATCTTTATCACTTTAGGCCCATCTTGGATTCAGGGCACAGAATAGCATGAGCTGCAAGAGTGGAATTACTAAGCTGGATAGCCTGGACAAAGGCCATAATTGCTACATCAAGGTAGCTATGACAAAGGCTGGAATTCCTATGCTAGGTAACCTCGACATAGGCCAGAATTGCCACTCTAGCTAGCTTCAACAAAGACCAGATTCGCTACACTTGGATGTCACAACAAAGGCTACGCTGGATAGCTTTGATAAAGGCTGGAATTGCTACACTAGGTAGCCGCAACAAAGGCACGAGCCTGACAGCACAAAAGAGAGCCTATTTACATGACGTCTCTCTCGATGCAGCTTGTCACTGCTTGACATTTCGCAAATCCGACTGCTTCTCTCTCCAGCAGATGCAGTGACTCATTTGGTGGCCAAATGTTTGCTCCTCGCATCAGACTTGGAGCGGTTTCACAATCTTAAAATGTGTTTTACAGACTCATCGGGCAATGAAAAAAAAACAGATTGGGGTACATCTATTCTACTCTGCTTGTTTGGAGAGTAAAACTCCAAAGAAACGTTGCTCTTTAATGTAAACATCTGTGTGTCTCTCTAGAGTTATTGCAGGCTTATTCATTATTGCTGATTAGTTGATTCATAGCTGTGATTTGAATGCATGTAGCGATGATTTGTTTATTTGTTGTTATAATCGACTCGCTTGCTGATGGGTATACATGGCTGGCTCTGATTGGCTGCACTCTCTCTCGGAGGAGTGAAACGCCACACTCGGTACGTCCAGCCACTTCTTGCTGACGGTGGAGACACAGAAGCCCGCAGGCAAAACCAGAGGAGCCGCGACTGACACCTTCTCGCGAACGCCTACTGAGGACTCGGGGACGTCACGGCTTCCCTCTCGAAGGATCCTCCTCAGACAGTCATGGCAAACTGAAGCCGCCCCATGACGCACACTTATCTGTCTCAGGCTGAAACGTGTAGCTGTTCAGCTGACACCCTGTGAGGCATATAGTCATTAAAAGAGGAGAGCGCGTCAAATCTCTTTGCTGAAGAGACATGGTATCCAGCCTACCACTGGGAATCACTAATGCTATCCCTGGCAGGGTTTTGGTGTTTTCTGTTGGTTGGCTATAACAACCCCCCCCCCCCCAATAGAGAGGGAAACAATAGTCACTCCATGCAGAGTGTCGCTTCCTGGCAGCAGGAGCGATGTTTTCATGATGCTCTGATTTCTCGTCCGCAATTAAGCCTCGCGTCTCTAATGTTGGTGTTATTTCCTGAGGATGACTGAGCTAATTATGCGTCGTGTTGCAAAAAGCATGGGCATTATTACAGTGCCATTGCCTTGATCTTGAGCAGAAAATCATACCACTTGCAATGCAACACACAGGGAAGGTCAACAAGTTTGTGTACCCATTTTGTACAAATGGCAGGTGTCACAGACTAGCTAACAGGGTTACTGGGCTAGCTAACTCATTCTGGGTAGTTCTGGGTCTTACGGTTCAGAGCACATGTCCTCGGGCTTCTGCTCAGATGCTACAGGATTCTGGCTGAAGTGCAGGTTGCCTTTTTGAAAAGTATCAGTGTCGGTTTGGCCTGCAGTCGTCCCTCTTTCCCTCCTGTCCCTGCAGGGTGCTGTACCTGGGTCTGGCATGCAACACTGCCCGCTATCTCTACATATCCTACCTGGAAAATGCCTGGACCGTTCTCCCCATGGAGGTGCTTCAAGGTCAGTCAGTCGCTCCAGGCTTCTGCTCAACCAATCAGGCTGTGGCAGTTGAGCTATGGAAACTTAACAAAGGTTGTGCGGTATGCATTTAGGGATGGGAAACCACTGGTTATAAAACAATAAAATGCCCTACTGGAGGTTACAGCATGGGCATTTGATGCATAGACCCTCTACCAAAGCTCATGTACAGTGATAACTATTGTTTTCTAAAGCCTTTGAGGAAATTTGACCTTGGTAATTGTTTGCACTGCACACAACCTGAGAAGGTGTTGGGGAAATCTACCCTCTAAAGACAATACTGGGCTAAAACCAGATAAATACACACAATCTTACCTTTCAAAATTATGCTTAAGGGCTCCTTCAAGACCTGTCCAACCAGTTGCCTGTGCTTTAAATAGCATTGTGGTCAAATTTCTGAAAGACATTTTGTAACTTATTGGTATCTCGACTTGTTTTCTCAGGACAGGTCATGACACAGCAATGCTTTAAGCTCACTGGAGATTGACATGGCTACAGCTAGCTGAGGAATGAGGCCGACTGGATCATTTAAAAGAGGAGTGGATTATTCACTGCGTTTTCAACTGCAGGCCCGGTCCTGATATGGGGGAGAGGAGTGAAATATAGAGGGAGAGTTTTGGTCTCGGGTCTACTGGCTGAGCTGGGCTGTTGTCTTCAATACTGAATGTTTGTATTCAGTATTGAACATAAACATTTTTTTCACATGACAATGTGGGTCCTCAGACAGGGGTTTTCTTGTGGTAGATCTGCTTGTGTGGAACAGGCGTCACGAACACAGATCTCAGGTTTCCTGGGGTCGATCAGAAAATCATGGCTGTATTGCACCGATCTACATCAAGGATGTGAAATGCACCGTGGCTTTGAAGGACGGTTCTCAGAATGCATTTCTGATGTGGGGGTTGGACCAGCCCCCCCCCCCTCGAAACTGGCTCTTCCAGGAACTGCATGAACCGGAGAGAGGCATGATGGTGTGATGGTGACGTGCCACCCTCGGTCCTGGGACAAACAGGCTGGTCCTGTCTGCAGGTCTAGTCAGTGTCTTCAGGATAAAGGCCCGATTGGCTGCATGACGAATACAGCACCGCTGCTGTTCTTTAAAGCTTTGCCTCGCTGTCACCACGCCCGGCATCAGGTGCTTCTGACACGGTAATGATTGCAGTGAAAACTCCAGAGGTCATGGGTTTAGAGGGTGGCGCTGGTGATCGGTGCTGCTTTTGAGTGTTTCTAACAGCCCCCCTCCCCAGCCCCACTCCGCCCCCTTCAGATGCTCGCCGGCTCTGCAGTTTGTGTCACTTTTGGCTCACTGAACACACGCACCGATCTGTCTTGGCAGGTATGACGCACGCCTTGGTGTGGGCGGCTTGCATCTCCTACCTGAGCGCCACTGTGCCGCTCGCCCTCCGCACGTCCACCCAAGGCGTCCTGCAGGGCCTGCACCTGGGGCTGGGGCGGGGCTGCGGGGCCATGGTGGGCGGAGTCTTCGTCAGTTACTTTGGTAAGGACACCAGCTTCCTCCACATATCATAGAAGCAGTCACCGCTGCGATTTCCGGCGTACCCCCGCAATCGGCTAATATCTACTTCCAGCCAGGAGAACATCATCCGTGGGAAGTTCCTTGAGGGTGGAGGTCAGATTTAATGAGGGAGGTTGTAAAATAAGAGGCCGTTTACTTTGCAACTGCTCCACCTACCTGGTGGTGCAAGCGAATAATGACCCAGTGCCCAACCCAGCTTATGACTCGTCCTTTCAATACAAACAAGACGATTACTCATGGCCTAATTCAGGGCACGTTTTCAGGCAGCCTTAAAATTAAGGATGGATACGCAACCAACATTTCATGCTGATCCATTCTTGTGTGAAGAATGATCACAGGGCCAGATGGTTTGATATCGTCTGCAGGATGCTGATTTTGCACATAATGTGCACGTTTTGTCTTGGGACGGGCTGCCAGCGTCGTAGGAGTGCGGTTGTGATGAGTAGGCGTCTTCAAGGTCTGTTTTCCATAGCTGTAGGCAGGGATGATGGTTGCCACTTGGCCCTTCCCAAATAGCCTGTCATCATCTCCTGTGTTCTTCCAGGAGAGGCGGCGACCTTTAGAGGACTGGGGATGGCATCCCTCATCATCCTCATTTTGTTCTCCTTCATCCAGTTTCTCATGGGACAGGACGACAGCGGCGGTATGGCAATGCCGTGTCATTGTAGGATGCGAAGTGTGTCCAAGGTGCACTCTGACATCTGAGCGGGGGAAATAATAAAACACATTTGGGTCTTTTCCAGAAGCCAAGGCGATGGCTTCCTCCGGCAGTGTTTCCATAGCGACCATCAACTTGACGCGGGAGCCTCAGACGCTCCAGCCGGAGCCACCCAGGAAGAGGAAGCACCAGGAGGAGCAGGAGGACCGCGACATGCCTCCTTGGGCGTTCACAGTCTCGCCCTGGGTCACCATGGCCTTCACCATCTTCCACGTCCTGGAGACGATAAAAATGGCAAAGAGGAGGGCCCTAGTAGACACACAGGACCCGCAGGTATCCGGCGCCGCTTCTCTGCGTATCTGGCTGCGACGGGGTGTAGATTATTCCTTCCTGTTCGGCGACAACCTCCGCGTTTACATTCGACCGCTTTGGCCCAAACCCTTTTCAGGAATCAGCAGCTCTTGTGTTCCGCCTTCAGCAGGACTGGTTTGCATTCTCTGGCACGCCACAGCAAATTCTATACAAGCATACTTTGCTAATAAATCGGATTCTGACTGGATCCCTTGTCACAGACAAACAGGAATGATATATTTTTTTGTTTGGCTATTCAGGGCTATCTAGGTGCCGTTTAATGTAGCCCCCCTCCCCACCCCCAGTCAGCAATTTTATCACATCTGGAGCTGGAAATAGTAAGCAAAGGTTAAGCAAACAGTTTATTAATTACCAAACAAGCTATGACAATATTAATGTGTGTTATCCTTTGGTCCATTAAGTTTTTGCACGACGCATGAGGATCCAGAGTCATCTGAAGGTCGGGAAGTTCTAGTCTGGTGATATATAAGGAGTCCTGTAAAGTGAAATCCTTGTACATGCTTAAAATATTGGGGAATCAAATGTTTCAAATGTAAAAAATTTGAGTATTGAGATTTCTCACGCACATCGTGATTAGCATTATTCATGCTATTCTACTGAAATGTGCTGGCATGACCTGCGGGTGGCATCCTTGTGTCAGCAGGTGACCAATGACACCACTGCTCCAGTTTCCCCGCCAGTGGACATGCCAGCGGCCCAACCCAGCACATCGCAACAGTTGGAGCCCTCCAACAAGCCAGTAAGGAGGCCCAGCAAGAAGCTCAAGGAACGTACAGACTCAGACGGGACTGAGAGGCCTCCCTCCACGGCGCCCCCTGTTGGCTCCAACAGTACTGTAGATAACCATTTCCCATTACCAGGAAACTTTGACCTACCTCCTCACAGGTCCTCAAACAACCCTTTCTACCAGTAAGACACACATGCCCATGACAAAGCACAGCGCCGACAACAAAGCCACCCAGGAACTGCAGTTTGAGAACGAAATCCAGTGCAGGGTGCAGATCTGTAAACAACCGGGACTCTGTAAAAATGGTTTTTATTAAAACTGTATCTGTTTAACAAACAGGTTTTGATTTTCATTAGCCAAGATTAAGAAACAAAAGCCATATTGTCATCAAGTTTGCAAAAAATTTCATACTTTAAAATATCACATAATAAATATATTATCTAGGCATTTTGTGCGCAGGCATCACCTGAAAGATGTAGTTACTTTTTTGGGATATTGTGTTTCCAGTTACCTTATTCTTCTTTTTCCCAATTTGGGAATTTTTTAGAATTTAGTGATCAGTGGTAATTGTTGACACACCACAGCGCACAACATTGCACTGCATTTAATCTATATGTGACGTTGATTCAGCGCCCGGGGAGCAGTGCTTGGCGGCAGTACCTTGCTCAAGGTACCTCAGTGGTGCCTTGATGGTCGGGGATTCGAACCAACAATCTTTCAGTTACAAGTGCGCTTCCCCTAACCATAAAGACACCACTGCCCACACAAACATACAGATTTATCCATGGTGAGCTAACTTCTAATGCAAACAAATTAAAAGCTGAGGTAGAACAGATAACAGCAAAAGTTTGAGCCAGAAAAGTCAACACTTGGAGTACGGCAGGGAAAAAAACAAGAATTTAAGTTCCGATAATCAACCACTGGGGGGCAGCAGGAATCAATGAGGAAACTTCTACCAGTCAGGTGAACAACAGAAACTTACCCCCAGGCACTTGAAATACAGAAAACTCATATTAGAAATGAAAGAGGTTAAATTTACGCAAATCGGATGAAGGTCTCTTTTGTATACCCTGGGTATTCACTGCCTGAAATAATAGAATAACCTGTATCTTTAAAAATGCCTCTCGGAAACAAACAACATAAAAACACGCTTATAACTGCTGAATTCCCTCCAGGGCTGCAGTTGTTCTTTAAGAACAGGACTGTGTGTGTGATGTGTAAGATTCAGACATGGTTAATTAACCCCATCAGGGTTACCAAGGCAACCAGTGGTGGGACCCCTCAGAAGGGCTCTTCTGTGTCCATGGGCTCTGAAAGGGGTATGTAGGGGGTGGAGGGGTAGGGACACAGGGCCAGATTGTAGGCCAGGGGGCCGACCTGCGGCATGGGGGTGTAGGGGGTGCCAGGAGGGGGCAACCCGGGTGTGGGGGGTGGGACAGACTCCTGACCACCCGGTTCGTCGGCAAAGACGTCGTCACCAGCCCCCAGCTGGGAGGACGGCCTCCCGATGCCGGGGTCTGTGGCACTTCCTGAGCTGAAGATCATGTCCTCAAAGAAGGCACCTCCCACCCCATACTGGCGGTCATGGTTCTGGGACTCCTCCGCGGTGACGTGGGAGCCGCTGCGCAGGAACTCAGCGAACCTGAATGTGTGTGGAGGGCGGGTGGGGGGGCAAAAGCACATTTTAAGAAAAGTTGGCGTTGGAATCCCCCATCCCTTTGTAACCTCCCAACACGTGACCCTCTCCTGCCATCGAGCACCACAAACGGACACGTGTTCCCGGCTCCAGGGCCGCATGCTAATCTCACCAAAATCGCGAGGCTGTCATAGATTAAGAGGTGGCGGCGTTAGGGTAGCGGAGTCATGTGACCCTACAGGACACCACATTGCAGGTGGGTGCTACGTAGTGAATGCTGACTCATACGGCCCCCCCTGATCCCGAGGTGTCTTGAGCCTCAGACCGTCGTGCTTCGGTACGCCTCCGTACCTCTGGGGGTAGCGCAGCCGCAGCACGGTGCCCCAAGCGGGGAAGCCCGGCTTGTTGCAGTACTGCCTGAGCTCCTCCAGCGATGCCCTCGTCTGCACCTCCCCCTGCTCTCGGTACTCTTCCTCCGTCAGCAGCCGGGCCTGCGGCCGTCCAGGCCAGAGTGGACCCAGAACCGAGGCAAGTGGGTAACCCACTTCTCTGGGGGGGGAGGGAAGATGGGAGTGAAGGGGAAAAAACAAGTTGATGCATCGCTTCGTTAACGGGAGGGCCGCTCCTTAAGTGCTGGAAAACTGAGGCGTTTTACCAAATGATGAAACCCAAAGAAACGCAGTAAAAAGAATTATTAAGCTCATAAACCAAACGCATAAACTATTGTGGGTTTCTATGGTCTATGACATACAATAACCGAATGAAAGGTCCCTCACCATCCATAATTAAATCTGGGGTAAAACACCTTCAGTCACAGCGCCCCCTTGTGTCCTCCACATACTGTATATCGATGCCGTGGAAAATCTCTTAAGTGTTCCACCTGTACACTAACCCCACGGTACCTGCAGAGCCCACGGAGGAACACCCAGCACAGCGGCAGGAGCTTCAGGCCCAGCAAGACGCCTGCTGTCACATGGGCCGCCGGCAGGTATGATACACCCAGGTAGATCAGGCCCAGGCCCACCCCCCGGAGCCCCCAGGTCATCACCGCCAGGGTGCACGTCCCCGTGTCGGGGCGATGCCTGCGGCAGACGGCGAAGCTGACAGCACCGGACAGCAGCAGGTATCCTGCAGAGGAGTAAACAGGACCGTGGGACAAAGCGACAAAGACGGCAGCCCGCGCTCATTGCATGCATCCTAATCGCAGCATGGAAAAGCCCGCTCAGGACCTGCCTCCGAGTCCCCACAGCTCTGGAGTTTAATGTCATCACACAACTGCGAGGAAACTGATTCCGCGCCTCTCTGAGCCGATTAAGGCGTCGGGAGGTAGACGCCTGAGAATCCGATGCTGCTGCTGCACACCAGGGACAGCTTACATGCTCATTAAACTCACGCTGGGGATGTACAGCTATGCCGTTAAGGTGACTCTGAGACAGCCAGCTTCAAGCACACAGGGGCCTTGTTCACCAGGCGGAATGCAGACAGATGCAAAATGAAATGAAATGTAATGAAATGGAATGAACTGAAATGGAATGGAATGAAATGATGATGTGTGGTGTTTCACAAAACTTCTTCATCTAAAGACCTTCTAGAACAGGGGTGGGGAACATGATTTTGGGATGACCTCTCAATCAGCCAATACCAATGAGCCTCCAGGACTGGAGAATCACTGCTTTTTTTATTGGTTGATTGTTGTTGATCCTAAAAACCCGCACCCCCAGCGGCTCTCCATAGGTCAGCTTCCCCACTCCTGCCCTAGAAGCTCCATTAGCATGGCCCACATGGAATGGTTAAACCCTGCCTGAGGTCCAGACAATTCAAAACTGGATCCAGGCCTGTGCTCCGCCCTAAGATCAGCTCAGCCAGCGTCCACCTCCAAGGCCCCCCGGAACGGAAAAGTGCCCCCCTGAGGAGATCCAGCTGCTTACCCAGGAGCTCCTTCCTGTAGAGGAACAGAGCTGGATCCCAGTTGGTCAGCAGCCATCTACAGGTCAGCCAATTTAATCCACAGCTTACTGCCAGCAGCACCAGGAACAGGATTTTCTGTCAGCAAGGGGTCCGGCATTATGACATGTGACGCTGATGTGGCAGAACAGGTTTGGCCAGGTCACAATAAGGGCTGGTGAGGATGCTCAATTGCAGCCAATCAACAAGCCATATTCAAGGGTCTCCTTCACAAACCAGATGCAGGTCAGAGTACAATAATTCAGAATGTGGACAGACCAAATTCTGGAACAGTTACTACTTAGCTACTTAAACTCAACACACATGGGGTTGGGTGGGGGTTGCAAGGTGAAAAGGAGTGTAATTACATTCTGAGTCGGACTGGACGATATCATACTGATAATAATAATCACCAGGGCTTCAGATGACAGGGGAAACATCTGGCCAGACGCCAGCTTTTCAGTACTATACGTATATTTTTATTTACGCCCACAATTTAAGAGGTTTAGTAGTACAGCTAAAATATTAATCAGACATTTTATGATACCCAAAAGTTAGTAATCGATATAAATTCGGCATATCCTTATGTTTAATAAACATGTCTGACTAAACGGCAAAAAGTACTGCAACACCACAGACATCTTTACCTCGTTTATCCACAAGATCTCCTCTTTTAAAAGATGTCATGGCTGCTGAGCTGTTCCTTTCTTCGCCGCCACTTCAGTGCATATCGCCCTGAAGTATACCAAACCGTAGTATACCATAACATTATTTGGTGTGCTCCGCTTTTTAGTAAATGAAATGTAATAAACAAATATACGTCAAGCTTATACTGATTACTAACTTCTGTGTGTTACAAAAGTATGGCATTAATATTTTAGCTGTACTACTAATCTGCTTACCAAATTATGGGCATAAATAAACGTCTGTATAGAACTGAAAAGCTGGCGTCTGACCAAATGCTTCGCCTGTCATCTCAAGCCTTGGTGATTATCATACATGAACGATATGACATCACTCGAGGAAGGACTAAAGTCCGTACCCCATAACAACAGCTCTGTATCCATTTAACAGTGATTTGAAATTCACATAATGTTCACCAGGCAAAACTACGGAATGTGTGAAGCATGTAGGCCTAAGTTGTGGGCTTTTAAAAGGAAACTTTAAACAATAAACAAACAAAGTGATTTACACAGTGTTTTTCAAAACCCAGATATTTAAAAACAGAAAAACAACAGAGTGGAGGGAGATTTGAAGACTGCGATAGAGGGCGAGTTACAGATGTTAAGCTACCCCAGCCAAGCAAACATTGAAATCGACTCCTGAGCCACATTTACCCTCCGTGTGAAGCCTTTCAGAGCCAGCAGTATGAGGATATAACTCCCAGGGAAGAGAATTCCCAGGGAAACGTTTGTGACATAGTAGACCAGGGTACTCCTGTCAAAAAAAGACAGACCTGAACGGCATTCATTGATAAACATACCTGAGAAATATTAACTGGCTGCTCTTCAGGGAAGGGAATTACTTTGTGAGGGATAATTAACAGCAGCTGTTGTTCAGGGAAGAAGGCAAATGCCTCATTTGTTGTGTTATATAAATGGGAACTGGTCGAATTTTATCATTATGTCAAGTCAACTTAAGTGATTTCTTTGCCCAAAAAAGGTCAGAGTATAAAGAGACACCTAAAAGCCAGAAGTACCTGCACATCGTCCTGGCAGAGAGGAACAGGAAGACTCCACACAGAAACAGGCTGAAATGCATCCAGTTGACTCCTGAAAACATTTCAAAAGAGGATCATCCATCTCGGCCCCCTCCTCAACCCGCGATGCGCTTTGCACCAAACACTCACTTACGTTTGCCTGTTAGATGCAAGGAGTACCCCACGTTGGGCTTGGCTTGGACAGCGAAGCAGACTTCCTTGCCCTCCATCGGGATGCCCACCCCAAGATCCTCCTGAGCACCCCAGGGCCAGAACTGTGTCAGCAGGCCCCTCAGCTGAGTCACGAGGACCCTAGGCCGCTGAGAGCCGTTTCCCTCCAGCGGGAAAGTGATGTGAACATCATAAGCACTGGCCACATGCACCTGGACCAGGGAACAATGACAACAAATAGTCGAGGTGCAACAAATAGGAACACAATGTATAGCTTAGCACTTAAAAAAAAAAACAAGAAAATCTTTTGAATTGACTCTCACCTCACACAATGAAGGATAAGCTCTTCAATTGCATGTTAGAAAAATATTAGTTCTTGTTTTTCATGAACATTTTATGCGAACTACTTTCATAAAGACAAGTATACCGCATGTTTTACCAAGACAATTTTACATGGGTATCATGGTCTGCCATACTATTGACACTTAACACCCTGGATTACCTAATAACACATTTAATATATAACATTATTAGCAAAGATCTTCACGAACAACTTAAAATGCAAACTGTCAATTCAATTTGCGGAGTGAAATACGGAGAGTGGGCGTACGTATTATCTCTGTATTTATATACCTGAAAAGTGGAGCAGAAGTCGTTCCATTTTATTGCTGTACCGGAGCTGTAGCAAAAACACCGCCCTCCGTAGTATGGACTGGCTTCATTTTCTTTTAAATAAGTGCAATCTGCAAGGCAATTAAAGTATTACACGTAGTTTCACCATATAGGGTTGGCGGAACTAATGCGATAAAAATGAGTGAAATGCTGTTCTATATTTTTTTCTCTTTTGCAAAGTCGAATAAACAATAGCATGTGTTGTTGAAGATTATTTAGAAATAGTTTGAAGTAAGACGTGATTTAGGATCATTTTTCACTTATGGGGACGTCGCGAGCACGCGGAAGCAGACCTCCGCAGGGAGGCATACCCCCCTTCCGCACTCCGGACCGGCCGACATGCGGGCTTTTACCTGCGTGTGAGTAATGCTGCTCATCTGCAGCACACATATGACCAAAACTGACGATTATTACGAAAAGCAAGGGCGCTGACAGCACCGATGGACCCTTCATGGTGGCAAGAGCGGCCAAAGCTTTACTTTCAAATTCAGAAGCGTCCCCTTGCGCTCCAGACATAAGCAAACGATTCGACACATGGTACAAGTTCGGGGTGTTAACGTCGCTTTTTAATCTCATTCACTCACCATGTGAATGTTCTTGTACACCATTTGAATGTAGTATATAAAATTTGATGCAAATACTTATATGTTATGGTATATTAGGTGATTGTTTTGACTTGGTGTAGCGTGCAGTTATCTATTAGTTGGGTCTCATATGGGAGTGAACTTAACTTTAGATCTAAATGGGAAGTCAAATATAATGTAAATATGACCCAAAAGGTATTTATATTCTCTATATTTTAATTATTTATTTACGCGAGAGCGCGCGCGCACACATACACACGCGCAAGGATTTCGGTTGTTTTCTTTTTCAGTTATGCATATTTCTGCATTGCTGTACTTTAACGGAGAAGCCCTCTAGTGGATAAATTATAACAATGTGCTGTTACGTCTTTTACGCTTCAGGTTGGCACTGGACAGAATAAGCCGTCACCGCCGGTGTGAAAACGAACGCATTCATTTGTGGTTTACTTGGTACTGCAATATCCTGAGTGTGTATAACTCGATATCAAGATAAATAGCTTTACTTCTATACTTAATTTACATTTGTCGAAGTCATCAGCATCTTACGTGTTCGATGTTCAAGCAGAGATGTAAAGTGGATGCAGACGGCGCTGATTCCGCCTCTACTGTAAATGTTGACTCATAAGGGAGGCGTGTCTCGGTGCCCTTGACATTATTATAACTTGCTTCCATAAATTGTATTTGACAGCTGAACCTTTTGAATTTAAACAGCTGTTGATGAACTACTCCCTTCGTTATAAGATGTGGTCCGTTATTCTGACTTCTCCGCTAATCATGTTTAGTGTGTGATTATTAAACGCCAAATGCGGTTAGTTATTATATGTGAATAATATCTGTGTGTGATGCCTGTATGCAGCAGGACTCGCAGTGCATGAGTGTGTGACACTGACGCAATGGTGACATAACCCTCCCAGAGTCTCAGCAGGGGACCAGTTTGACTTTAGTTTAGTGAAATAATCTTCTCCCTGGTAAATCTTGCCGGCTCCAGGGTTGACAGTGCGACAGCGGGGGAAATAGACCCACTGCTTAAGGGGAATAATTTAATTGTTGGGGAACACGGTCCATATACCGAGACATAATATTTTTGCACTTTAGGTGAAAGAGTTGTCTTATCAGGATTTTTACATCAACCATGTTGAGCAAGATTAATATATACCACAAGACCACCGCTTGCAAAAAGTAGGATCCCTATCACTACCTTGCTTCAAAGTCAGAATGCATAACGCTATAATTTCCCCTGATTATGCGACCCACCATGCATGTTTTACAATGAGCGTCTTTCCGTGGGGATCGTTAAGGGCTCCGGCGCCGATACCCGCCTTGTCGCCGCAAAGGGACGCGCCTGGCGCTACATTCAGCGCGTCTGTTTCGGCGCTTGTCGGACGCGCACGCAGCGGCAGGGAAATTCAAAAACGGAACTTAAAAGCGGCCGCTGGAAATGTCATTGATGCGCTTTCTGGGAGGGGGATTTTTGCCGTGGGTGTGCGCGGCAGGTGGCCGCGTCCTGCTTTCTCTAGGATGCGGCTTTTCCTGACAGGCACGCCCACGCCGGGCCGGGCCGGGCCCAGGGCCGCTGTCACACGCGTAGCATGGAGTCTGCCTCTGACTAATACAGCCTTGCTTTGCTTTTTTTTTTTAAATCTCGCCTTAAGATGCATGTGCTCTGAATCGTTAATAAATCAGATACGTGGACATCAAGGACGGAAGTTAAAATCGGAACTATTGGAGGTGTTCCCTTACAGACAGGATTCAGGAAAGGACGTAGATGGTAAAAGGTGCAAGATAAAAGAGATGAGTAACTTAATATCATTACAGAATGCATGGCTGAAATGCACTGCTTTCATTGTTGCAGCTGTGCGGAGCAGCAAACGGGTGTAAAGACGCAGTCACAGGGGAAAACAATCATGGAAAAAAAAAACGGTCGTTTCTGGTGCTTTTTCATCTCCGAAAAGCCCCTTATCGCAAAGCAGCCTGGCTGATGAAGGCTCCATACTGTGCATCTCTGCATTTCATGCCTCTTTAAGGCTGGGTATATTTCTTAAATCTGCTGTCAGCAGAATTTGTTTCTGTTTTTTGTTGTGTTTTTTTTTTTCTTGTCTAACTGGTCCAGTGCCAGCACATTGTCTCATCAGAGGACCAGCTACGGTGCCCTCAAGCAAGGTACTTGATCTGAATAGCCTGGGCAAATGTATCCAGCAGAATATATCAGTAAACTTTAAAATGGTGTTTGTGAGACATTTTTAATTTTTTTTTTTTTTTGCGTAAAATATCTGCTTTGTTAACATAAATTGTGATTGCAGTCTGTTTGCTTGTGGTGGTACGTTGCTGTCTCACCGTTTGCAGTCCTCAAATTATCAACGCGCCATGCATTACATGCAGTTCTGCTCTCAACCAAATGGTGGCGCTCACATGAGGGGAAGCGGTCATCCTGCGACAGAAAGGCACCCAGTGTTTAGGGCTGTCAATAGGCCCATACACAACACCCACCGGGCTGGGCCGCCGTGGGTGCACTCGCCACAGCCCCGCCGCGGTTTACGAGGGTCCGACCAGCAGGGCCCCTGGACTCCAGTGGGCTGGACTGAGGGGCTGCCGCCTGGAGGGACCGCGATGTCTCTGGCCTTTCCATCCACGGTCTTGGCATCCCTCACAGTGGCAGTCACTCCCTGCTCCCACGACCAGGCATTAACTTTCACTCCAGTTCTGCATGAAAATTTAGCTGCATCCATGCAGCGTATATTGAGAGCAGTTGCAGCAAAATGGCTTCCTTTAAGACAGTGGTGGAAGACAGGCCTGTATCCCTGACCCTCAGTTTCCTAACGAGCATGTGATGGCAGGTCCAGCTCCGGTTAACGAAACCGCCTGTTTGGTGCCCGGCATGGTAAAACGAAGTAAAACACACTAGGGGCTTAAGGGGCAAGCGACAAGGAGGACAGGACGGTCAGCAACACCTGCAGGCCAAACGGGGAGGAGACACGAAGGGCAAGGTCAGATGGTACAGACCCTGACGGGCGAATCAGCCGCAGCGGAGGGTGGGCAGGTGTGTGGGAGGAGCCAATCCTCACTGGAAAACCCCGCCTTTAACTGCTGTCTGGCTATCATTAAAAATGCAGCTCCGCAGATTTCCCATGAATACGATTTGGAAGTAGACCTTGCTGGAAAAATTAACCACATATTACAGCGCATGCTTTATGCCATCGTGGAATTTTTTTTGTTGTTCAAGATCTCATCATTTTGTATGTGTTGCAGTCTAATAGCAGTGTCGGCCTTCCCCGTAATAAGGGGAGACAGTGAGTGTAGCTTCAAGCCCCTCAGGATCAAGCCTTATTGTCTCTCCTCTTTGGCATGCAGCGCTTGATGAGCATTCTTTGATTGACCAAGCTGAGGCCAACTGAGGGTGATGATCAAACCAGGGACTCTGTGTGACCAGATTTCTGCCAGCAGAGCCCAGCGCAAGAGGCCCTTGGGAGACAACAATCTTCCCAGTGCAGCTGGAGGAGGCGGAGAAAGCAGCCATTCCATTCCAGGGGTGTGGGAGGTGCAGAGAAGCACATGGGGAGGTGGGTGGAGGAGGCACAGGCCCGTCTGCAGGAGGCCCAGCTAGCTGGGCTCGCATAACGCTCTCCTCAAGCAGGCAACGCCACAGGTGTGAAGCTCATCTGGTCTCCTGGGGAACTGGGGCTGGTGGTGTTAGCCAAGCAGAAAGTAAATTTGCAGCCGTTGTCACATTATTATTCTTTGACATTGGCGGTCTCCCAAGATGGCGGAAGTTCGGCTCATACCCGTGGTGTTTTCTTGTTTCATTTCCACCACCTGTGTTTCTCCTTATTTGTTCAGCAGCTGCTTTTATATAAAGTGAGGTGCATTCTCGTGATAGGGTCAGATAGTTCCTCAAGCAATTGATGGTTAATCTCCAGGCTCAAGGGCCCAACAGTCAATTTGTAGATTACCAGCTAGTGCTGTGTGACTTATTTGGGCCCATAGACAGAAATCTCAAGTCAACTTGCACCTGCTAGTATATCAGTCGCTATTGCTGCCTCTGTCCATAGATGGACGTCTAACTGCCCTGAGTCGATGTGCTGTCTGACTTTGCAAATCTCTCTGACTTATCTTCTGCCATCCTTGGGGTTGAGGTGAGTGTAACTTTAACCATGAGGCTTCTATCACATATGCAAAATCAAAATATATTCAAACCAAAGTTATTAAATATGTCACCCCTCCCCCCAGACCATGATCATCAGGAAGTGAAAGATAGCCATCACTGAATACTAAAAATTTGATTTATAGTAATTCATTCTTTATTTTTTGCCTTTTTATAAAATGCTGTTTTATTATCGTTATAATTATTGGGCGTGTTGTGCCTCTTGAGAGAGATTCGCGATTGGCACTGACACGTTAAGGTGTTCCCCTGGCCGCGGTCGTGTGTTCACCTGTCAGGAATGCACGGCCTTTGCTTCGCCAGGCGTGTCGCATGTGGCATGACCTTTCACGGCCTTCAGTTGTGGCTGCGTGTCAGCTATCCTACCACACGTAACCAAGGTGTCTTTTCTGTGGTCTTACGCACTCTTTGTTGTTTGGCGACATTGTACTTTTTTTGACGTACGTCAAGCGTGTCCGTACGGACGTCTTCAGCTCTGGAAGTTCTTGGTGTCAGTTCTTGAACAAACAAAAAAAAAAATGATAGAAATGGATGTCGATCTAACACTTGAATATAAATGGGCGTGAGTCAGGAATAGATTTAACGTCATTACACAAATAGCTTGTTCTTTTCATTTAAATACAATAGCGGCTTTGACGATGTGAGGAAAATCTGCCAGATGACTGTGTCCTACTTCTGATCTGAGTTGTGTTGCTGATGATGGTAGAGGCCCTGGGTTTTAGACTCAAGGCTGCTTCTTGGGTGACTGTAAACCAACA